CCTTAAGTTGCAATAACAATGAATATTCAAAGGAAAAATATATGAAAAGAGACTTAAAGCATATACATTTTAAGGGATGATGTATGGAATTGATAAAAAGCTACGTACAAAATACATCAGGAAAGAGAAAAAGAAAACATGGTTCGATTACATCACATATATTGTAGATGTTGCCGCGAATTCCGATTCGCGAGACTCCAACCACACCCCAAACAAACAAATAAATTCCTTGTTGTAAATAAATGTTAACAATAGTGTAAATCATTTAACCAATTTACATTCTTTAAAGTTATCTCCCCTACGTTTCTTTTGTTATCTTTGTCTGACGGAAATTCACATCTATATTTTAATGACAAAGAATTTCCAATTTGCATGTTAATCTTCCCTCTGTTCTTGTTACAATGCTTATTATGTAATTGGTTCTTTACAGTTTCCTTTTATCTAAATGAACACCCCTTTTTTAACGTTTTATTTAAACCACTCCCACTCTCTAATGCATATAAACCCTATTGTAAATCGGCTGAATTATTGTGGTCAATAAAGGATTTACAATCCGGTGTGGACTCAATACACCTTAATTCAATTCCACTCAACGCAACCCAAATCAACTCAGCTCAACCTCAACGTACCCCAATCGACTCAGCTCAACTCAACCCAATTCAAATCACCCCAGCGGATCTTAAGAAGCCGATCGACAACACTGGTGATATTTGGCTATTGATCGACATCACACTCCACGATTCAGAAATAATCCACCACAGATGTCTCCTAAGTCTACTCAACAAATAGTCTTTGTGTAATGATCGTATCCATAATGATAGTGGCACTGTCAGATTTGAATAATGTCATGAAAATTGATCTACTTCGTCTACTTCTCTTGTTTATGTTGGTAATAATGAATATTTCCCTCAAACTGAATGAAATGAAGTTTAAGCTTTTACTAAACAATAAAAACCTTTGCCTAACCATAAAATGGTTATTTCTTTTAAAAAATTTAAGGATTTTTTAAATACTGTAAGGAATGATGAAAAGGAATAAATACAATTTTCATTGTATTTTATCGATTTCAAGAATTTTAACATATAATTCTGTTCGAACAACTTCTGTGCGTCGTCGATGCTAAACTTCCAGTCAATACTGTATTAAAAAATTATTTTTACACGACTTTATAAATTACGTTAATTTGCTTTTTATTCCAGAATGATATTCATAATTTCTTAGCATATCAGTCCTTTATAAGAGAAGAAAGAAAAAGAGGAATGAAAATGAGAATTGAACGAGAAAAGGCAAAAGGGGAGGAGGGAAAAGAAGAGGAACGAACTGCGATGAGGTACGCTTCCGAGAAATTACTTTCATCACCTTGTCTACGCCTCAAAAATTCTTGAAAAAGACGTGTTCGAGCAATTTTGCTTGAGAGAAGTACTGACGTCGTATCCAATCAAATTCTCATCTCACACATATTCATATCCATACTATTTGTTGTCTCTTTTAATGTATGCTGTGATTTTAAATGTCTGTCATATACATATATATACATATATATATATATATTGGTGTGTGTTTGTGTGTATGTGGGTGGGTGTTTTTGTACGTATTACAAATATGTCATAGGTCAAGTGTACTTATCATAAAGTTGGTCATCCTATTTTTTACTTATAAAACTAAAAGAAAGTACTTTCCACCAATCTTCATCTACTATTCTTTTTTTGTCATGAATACACCAACCGTTCATGGATTGCCTTCCAAAACGTAGTATTAATAAAAAGAGCAATGAGCACCGATCTTCACCCTTTGGAACACAATCCTATGCTGTTCAAAAATTTTCAACATCACAATTCCCATATTATCCCAGTTTTGCACCACAGCCTTTTGTTGAATAATTGCAACTAGCTTAAATTATCAACAGAAAAACAAAGCGCAAATCTCTTTTTTCTTCCCACTATTTAAATCAATCTTCTAATCTCTACCATGGAGGTTTTCAAAATTTGCCTAACTTTCAGGGGGAGACTTTTTACTTGAATTTATTTTTTGCAGTATTTTATCAATGAGCTTATACAAGATGTAAGATTTTTCCTATCACTGAGTATCCACCTTAACAAAGGATGTGATTAAATGGTGTAGAAAAAGTCTTAGTGCAAATGGTCAGAAAAAACTACTAAACTTTTCGCAAAACCTTGCGCAACGATAGTATCAGGAAGAACGTTAATTGAACGCGAGTTGCAGAACCGTTGTTTGGAACAACTGCACATTTGTACTTATTGTAGTTCTTGATGAAATTTATAATTGTATGTTTTCTACAGTCTACAGCTGCAATAACGATTATTTTCCCAAAAATTTGAAGCTTTCTCTTTTTAAATGTCAACTTCAAATTTTAAATGTTTTCCGCTATTCCTTCCTGCAAATTGTATTATAATTAAAAAAGAAGGTTTATTAAGATGTAACGCCTTTTTTTTATTTTAATTATTAGTACTTTGTTAGAATTCGTATTCAGAGTTAAAAAACGACTTAGAAAAGCCTGGAAGTGTGGCATAATGGTTGTGTGTAAGGACATCATTACAAAAATAATTGAAACCCGCAGCTTAAGGACTGGTCCAATTGTCTCTATTCTTGAAATATTGCGAATAGCCTTCTGTCTACAAAAAAAACGGTAATGAGCTTTTGTAGAATATTAATCAGTGAATAATTTTCTTCCTTTTTCTCCTGCATTGAAACAGAAGAAGTGTAGTAGGATCTATTGCATAAGCCAAGAGGCATGCAACTAAACCCTTTCCTGGCCATCATTCAATTCTTTGGTCACAAATTTATTCATTCCTATTTGTTGGATAATTTCATTTTGCAAGTGAAAGGATAAGTGACGAAGATCGCGGGAATGGATGAGAGAGATGAAAGGATTGCGCCCCTCTCTTCACATTTTAGCTCGGCACATGCATATATGTCACCCTCAGCATTCTTCCTAGCAAACGTTGAGCTAAATGAAACTTCAGCGAGTTTTGTATTCCATCTTCCCATGACAAACACATGCATCCACTTGTAAACATACTTTTCTCCATTACTTCCCAACATAATTTTGAAAGTTGTCGAAATTCCCTGAAAATTTCATTCTATCTATTTTGAAAATTGCTGGCAATTTCTGTGACTTACTTGCATTGGCAAACATCCTTACATCCTTCCCCACTCATCATATCAATCAACAAAAAAAGAACTTTTAAGTGATGGACAATTAAAATGAACAAGTGATGTGTTATTAAAAGAAATGATTCAGTGACTGGCAGAACAGAGCAGATCGCTTACGGAAAATGGATTAGTATGACTGCTTTGAGGACAACCACTCTACACTCCTCATATCCGCTGAGAGAAGCGCAATTTTTTAATAGTATAAAGAAAAAAATTGTGTAAATATATCAACCGAAGATCTGAAGCCTAGCTACTCTGGCCTTTTAACTAGAAGCTGAGAGAAGGAATCGGCGAAACATGAAAAGGCAGGAGACAAAAACAAGAGAGAGAAGTAGAAAAGAAGAGACAGTATCTTCATTGTTCGTATCTGTTGCTTGCATACCGCTTCGGTTGGATGATTCGGGGGAAGATTTTCGTCACCTCATTACTAAGAGGATGAAACAGTGGGAGACGCCATTCTTTCCTTAAAAATATCAATAATGCAACAGCACAACATATTTACATTTAATGTCCAACTCCGACAATTATCAAATTGCTGCAGTTTGAAAAGCTGGCTTTTCCGTCAGCAATTCATGCATCCCATCCTAACTTATACTATTGACTTATTTGTAAAATGTAAAATTGTCATCGCCACCATTATTAAAAAGTGATTTGTGAAAAATTTAATGCATCAGATTAATAGGCAGATTAATAGGCAGAAAATGTCATCATTTCAGCATTTGATAACAGCAGCAACATAAAGTCCTTTTCCAAACTCTCCTTCTACCGTGCCCTCTCTATCCTCTTTATGTTATCTGCACTTTGAGAACAGTTGAGTTTAAAAGATTGTTATCAGGCAAAGTAGTAGGCGAAACCGTTCGGAGGATCAAAGCAATATTCAACTTTCAAAGTAACCCTCATATTTGTGATATGCAGGATTATCATCATCTCACATAATATGAATGAAGTGATATCATTACTGTTCATTTCTAATGCTTGAGCCGAACCAGTGGATGGTCTCATCCGGTCACTTTTCTAACTTCATTAGCTCCCATAAAAAAAATCGGCATAATTTTAGCCTTGCATATATCGAATTATTACCGAAATATAAAACGCTAGAGTTCTGAGAGTTGTGGACGTCCAAATCGAATTTAATTTCGACAAATGACAAAATATTTTTGTTTCCCATTAAGGAAGAATCACTTTATTTTCTCTACTAGCTTCATGATCATTTGGGATTAATCAATATACAACCAGGATTTCAAAAGACTTGTAAAATTGATTGCTCACCAGCAGTTGTTGCTAAAGGAAGTAGCAATCATCAGAATTTCTGCAGAAAAAAAAATGAATATTTGTAGTCAACAATTGGAATTATTAGATGATATGACAAACGTCGTTCCTGTCTTTTTTTTGCAAAAAATATCAGCGCAAATAATCAGAAATTTGTTTACTGGACAATCTTATCACAATATCCCGTAAACTAATAGATTTATTTTAACTTTTTTTTTAACTTTTTTTGATTATGATTGTGGCATGATTGGAGGAGTTTGTTTACTCCATAATCCTAAAAGAAGTTTTTCAACAAAAAAATTATACTGAAGTTCTTTTCCGACGATAAACAAATTATTTATTATTCTCCTTCATTTTAAACATTATAGACACTGGCATTCATATTCTGGCCATAATTATTTCTGATTCTCTGCCAGTGCTCACATCAGATGTAAATTCAAGAATAGTAAAAAATTTAGCTTAATGAATACTGATTCATTTTCCTCCACATGCATTGTAAGCAGAGAGAAAAAAAAAGAAAAGAAGAAACTATCCAAACACTTTAACTGCAGGATTGATGCTACGATGAAATATGCAAGAAATCCACATCGACCTATTCTTCAATGTTTTAAAGGGAAGCGCACTTGCGCTTTTGGTTATTTGGACTATTGCTGCCAATACGCTTGTGTTTGTCGTACTCTATAAAAATCCACATCTCCAAACTGTACCTAATCTACTGGTACCTAGTTTGCTTCTTTCTTTCATTAATTAAATCATTACAATTCAGAATCATCACAACACATAGTGTCACAGTGAAATATTTGTAGGTTGCCAATCTCGCTTTCAGTGATCTGTGCCTTGGAGTCATCGTGCTGCCTCTGTCATCGATCTATGCGATCGCAAATGAATGGCTTTTCACATCGACGCTTTGCGTCGTTTTTGTATCAGGTAGATCTGTTTGTATTGTAATTAATAGAATGAATGTCTTCCCACAACAACTTTAGGATTTGTGATATGTGGAAAATCAATGAAATTACAGAACTTTTTCCAACAATTCTTTCTCTTGTAAAGTTTTCATTTAGTTGGTGTTCGGATATCAATGAAATTTGTTTATGAACTATTACTTAGTTTATTTTCAGGCATCTTCTTAAATGTCCATTTTTGATAATTTTTGAATACAAACGCTTTTACAGCAAAAAAAGTATCCCCGCTATAATTTGTTATGTTTTGTGCTTCACTTTGTCTTTATTTTTATGATCACTTTTCAATTCTTTCGGTTATTCAAAACTTATGCAAAACTCATCTGTGAGTATTTTATTAAGAACTAGCCTTCCGATATTGTTAGAATCGATCCAGCAAACTAAGTTTCAGTAAAAAATTCTCTGATCATGTTTTAACTTTTTTTTTCTTTGAACTGAGCTAATTTTGCAGCAGATATCTTGTGCTCCACAGCTTCTATCTGGAATTTATCCATTGTTGGTCTAGATCGTTATTGGGCTATAACTACTCCAATGACTTACATGGCTAAGCGCAATAAACGTACAGCAATTTTTCTAATTTTGTCCGTTTGGCTTTCATCCGCCTTGATTAGTTTGGCTCCATTCTTCGGATGGAAGCAGGCAAGCATTTATTTTTTATTTTTGCATGAATGGTAGTGAGAAGTTTAGAACACTAGCATTGAAGTGATATCCTGTAGAAGAATGGAGGAGATATTGATCTTCTGGAGTGAAATATTGTACTGCATTAAACTATCTTAATGTAGCTAAAGATGACACTATCAACAATAAAACTGCATATTGCAATAGTTACAGATATTTCTTGAACCCAAGGCTGGAAATTACCGAATTCACAAGTACAGCCTATGCAACTTCCCGGATCCTCTACAAGTTCGAAATTCATGAGGCAAAAGAATATAGGTTGACGAAAGTCAGGCGGACTAATAAAGTTTGAGAAATCATTTTTACAAGAAGTCTTGCAACACTATTTAGCTTAATATTGTGGATTTTTATGAACCATCGAATTTCATAGACTTGAGATTTTTCCAAATTTCAGCTGAGAATTCAGTATTATTCTTCGTAACTAATAATAACATTTCCATTTTTTCTTACTTGATTAACAACAAAATTATACCTTATTCATTAAATTTTTTTAAACAGATTTTTATTGCTATATTTCAGGTTGCGGAACGAGGTAACATGATAAGAATGAACGGTACGTGGCAATGCGTATTTTTGGATTTACCGTCATATACTATTTACAGTGCAACCGGATCATTTTTTATACCTTTATTTGTTATGTTCTTTGTATACTATAAAATTTATCAGACATTTGCTAAACATCGTGCTCGTCAACTATACAGACAACAGGTTTTTGGAATTAAAAAATAATTATATATATATATATATATATACAAATATATGCGGCAGAGTTTAAAATTATTTGTAAGAGATGAAGATATTCGGGATGAAAGATGTTTTGTAGGTAATTAAGAAGCATATTGAATCAACGATTTTACATGAACTGAGTCATGTTTTACTTACCGACGATAAATTTGCTGAAGAAATGGAGGAAAATGAAGAAAAAGGTTAGATTTATTACTATATGTAATTACAACGAGATGGTCTAGTATGTGCTGCCGATGATGTAATCTACACCACTTTTGATATGAAATATTCAAGTTTAATTAAAACTACGATAAAATTTTCAGCTGTTATAAACGACAGTTTTATTTAGAAATGTATAGCTTAGCTGATGTATAAATATACAACTTCAAATGTAACTTTTTCAGCACCGCAAAACTTGTTTCAAAACTATTAATTTTTTAAAGAGTTGAAATTAACAGATTCAGTTCACAGAAAAGAATGTCTTAAAAAGTCAGTTTCGAATCTGAATGTATATGGGTAACAAATAAGGCTTAAAATTTAGATTTATTACAGTACTTTTATAATTTTGTATTAGAAAGCAATTCCACTCCGAATGTTTGCAAAGAACAGTTTGTTCGACCAATATGCAAGGAATGTAAAGAATGCGTTGGTGACGCAACAAACAAATTCAGTCCTGGAAAAATGCGCATCATCAGAATTGATGCCGTTTGTTTTTCATAATTTTCGTGACAGTGATTATTTAATTGGATGATAAATCCTAAACCAAAGCTTCAAGTTCCATAGGCCATGGTGCCATAGTTCCTCAGGGATCATCCCCTTGGTCTTCAAAACTTGAAGTCATTAATTACACAAATTTTTTGGTAACATTGCAATTATTCTTATAGTGGATAATAGAAAAAATACATGAAGCGAATTGAAAACTACTCCAGCTAGTATTTTTTTCATCTTCTATTTCTTCTCAAGTATCTAGCTCTTGATATCATTTGCAAAGGATGTGGAATTAATCCGAAAGTACATGAAGATCGGTTGTAGTATTTGAAAATTTTCAAAATCTGCTATTTTGCTATATCAATATTACTTATAAAACCTCATATCAATTTCTGAAAATTTGTACTTCAACAATATTATTATTTTCGAGATACCACTTTACTTTCATCCATTATAAATAGTTTTAATGAGATCAGGAATCAAGAAAACGGAAATTTATGGGAGGTACAAAATGTCATGAAGACCGGGGAAGAGCAACAATAATAGCAGAAGTGGCAGCGAGAATCACCAAAACAAATAGTGATACTACGATTGTATTCCAAAATAACACAACGAAATCAGTGAAATGCTGCCATTGCGGTAAAACCGGCGTAGGCAAAATGCATTTGGTACAATCTTCTAAAACGGCATTAAGCCAAAACGCATTTTACAAGAGGCGACATCACCTGAAAAGGTACTGCATATTTTAATCGAAAGTATGAATATGAATGAGAAAATACGCACTGTGTTTATTAAGCATGAAACGAAAGAAATCAATGTAGAAAAAAATCAATGAATAATCAGGAATTGCACTTATCTAACATTCATTACAAGTTTTCAGTTTTCTCGAAGTTTCCGAAATATTTCAAACAGTTTTTCCGTAACACTAAGTCCGTGAAAAAATGTATGGTAAAATTAGCCAAAATTGTTAACTAGCTATTTAGTCATCTATTTTGAAAAATACACTAGAAATTCGCAAATTAAGTTACGATTCATTCCTCTTTTTCTTTACAGACAAAAAAATGCGCGAGTTGTTTTGCAACATAAACCAAAAAATATTTCGACCGCCAAAGAACGTCGAGGTGTGAAAGTTTTCGGTATTATTTTAGGTTGTTTTGCAATTTGTTGGACACCGTTTTTCATGTAAGCAACTTTTTTAATATTTTGACAGCACAGTTCAATATATCATTATAAATATTAGTCTTAAGCGTTTATATTCCCTAAAAATTTATCTGTGAAGATTTTTGGAATATCATCTGCAGTAGTACAGCAAATTCCATTCCTAGTATTATTGATTTCTAGTAGACTGATTGGTATGCCTTTTGACGACTTTCATTTTGGAACTTTGTTTTTTAGTTTGCGTTCAAAAAATTTCATACTTCTAGAATTCTAGAATGTATGTAGTGGTGCAGTTCTGTTCATCGTGTCAAATTGATCCGCACATATGGATGTTCATCACTTGGTTAGGGTACAGCAATTCGGCAATGAATCCAATCATTTATACGGTATGCTGGAATTGCACTATCATTACCTATCACATGACGGGAATCACAATTTACAACAGTTGGAATTTTTATATACGAACAGTTTTTCCCTTAATTTCAGGTTTTCAATCACGATTATCAGAACGCTCTGAAGGGGCTACTTCGCAGAAGTAAGCAACAAACAGTGCATGTTAAGCGATAAGCTCAAAGAAAATATGGAATATGAAGGAGACCGGTACTATAAAATGATTGGGCAGTGATTCTGATGCCGCCATCTCAACCTTTCCACGAAACATTTACCTACCAAAGAATATATTGACAAAAGCTATATCAAGTCCCTTTAAAAACGCATTGCATTTTGCAAACAAAATGCTTATAAATGCATATCGTAAACAAGAATATTAACAAATTTAATTGAATTGGCTAAATCATTTTGGAAAGAGGCAACAATTCTAGTGAACTGAAAAATTGTTATGAAACACTGTTGTATTCGGAATTCAGTTTTGCAACCAGCGTGCTAAGTTCTTTAATTTTTTCAGCTCCAACTCGACAACAACCACCTACCACTTTCATACCTAAATTCTTCCACTCCATTAGCTGCCCCATATCAGGGAAGATACATTTGCCATTTCTCCATCTGAAAGGATATTTGCATGTTGAAAATGACAGTTTCAAATATGCTACTTAACAGAGTCATAGCTCTGAACAAAAGTTACTGATTAATTGTTCATCCACAAGGAATGTAGCCCCGTTTTTTCTTTACAAAATCTTATCAATGATAAAAAGTGAAAGGATTCCGAGAAGAAAATGCTACAAAAGGGAACTTAATATAAATAAAACTGTAGGAAAAAATGCAACTTTTTTGTGCCACATTCGTATTCTTCTCCACTGTTCGGATAAACAATAAATGGCAACGAATTAACTGAGATACTAGCAGATTGCAACAGCTGTGTTATATAATTTGGTGATGTGCAATTAATTCCTGAATTAAATCTCAAACAAACCCTACAGAAACTTTTTCGACAATATTCACTTTATTTAAGTCATTCAAATGCAATAGCAGATTCGCAAGAGAGAAACTTGAAACGAACACACCTATTCCAAGAATGTTAGGATGATGTGAAATTTTCTCTACACTTTTGCAGAAACTTTCATTGTGATTGGTTTGTTCACCATTCTGCAAAGACCAACCTATGAATTAAAACATTTGACAGTTTAGATTAATAGGATAGTCAGTTTGCGAAAAACAAAAATAACGCAATTCAATTTTGAAACAATACTGAATCCAAAATTTACTTTACAAGAAAATGATATCCAGAAATTATACGAATGGTTAATAGCATTCACTGCTTTCAGTATAGCCACAGCTTCCTTGTATGATGGAACTGTTTCGTAAGCTATAACTTTGAGACCTGCTTGAAGCAGTGGTATGGTCTGTTGTATATGATAATCAACCAGAACCTTCAATATTAAAAATCAATAAATTCGTGTATTGATTAATCCAGTTTTCAATAATGCGCGAACTAATTACTTTTACATATATATTTATGCTTTTTTATTGAATTTAAATGATACCTGTTCTTCAAGCTCATCAACGTAATGTCCACTATACTCGGAACCATCATTAAAAATTACACCGTATGGTCCCACTGAACCAACTACCTTTACTTTTTCTCGTGCTGAGCATTCATCAACTGCCTGTTGCGCCAGTGAAACCAATTTCTATTTGAAAAAGACAGCAATATTTTTAGTTATCATATCACGATTTAAATTAATGACATGAAATATAACGATTTTAAGTGCCTGAAACATAAGTCTAATGCAAATTTAAACTATATGCAAAATTTTTAGTGAATTCCATAGGCCTTATCAGAAAATAATTTTTATCAGATGAAAGCATATTAGTTACTTTCAAAGACGATTCAGCAGCAATCTTCGTCATACCGCGTGAATTCATCATTGTACTTATACAAGCTTGATAAGTATTTGTGAGAATGATATCACTACCAGCTTCAATGAAGCTAAATAATCATTATAATGTATTTTATAAAGATATTGAAAAAGACAACAAATATCGTAGAGGAAGTCCAAAGAATACTTCAGAGTAATATATGAAAGTGCCGATTCAAATATCACCACCGAAATACATTGCTCGAATATGTGATACAAGTCAAAAGCGCTACATGCCGGAACGGTTAATATTTAGTAACACCAAAAATCAGACTTACTTCAATATTCATAGATACGTTAGGTTGTTGATAGGTTTCACGTGTGAAATACATACCGTTTATGCACTTGAAGTATGAGATTGGGATTATCGAACAATGCTGCACAACTCCAAAGTGAATGATTCTGCAACATTCATGAATTTTTCTTTTGGATTCCATTTACATTATAATGATTTGTTTTACAACCTTGCGAAAACGATATATACTATTCATAACAACTTACTTGAATCTTCTTGCACATCAGAAATCCTAAACTGTTAACAGTAAAAACTAAAATTGACTTTACAAACTTGTCTACATTGGTGAAAATAAAAAACAAAAATTTCGTTCGGATTTCCTCAAGATTTCGTGCATTGTTTGTAAGAAATATGCTATGGATAAATTACTAAATAGATGGGAGTGCAATTATTTATTAATTAATTCATAATAATTCACTTTAACATTGTAACCAGCTGCTTCTAGCTCAGTGCCAAAGCCGCCATCCAAAAGTTGAACTTTTTCCCAAGTGAAACACGCATCCATTCCTCCTATAGCACAAAAAAAGTGATAGGAAATTAAAAGTTCAGTCATTTCAGCTGAATATTCATTAAGCATTGTTCTACCAGGCACTGTTGTTCTTTGCCCTACATATCCAGGTAACGATATTGTATAAGATAATATGGTAATGAGAAACGTTTCCCGAAATAATTTGCTATTGAGGACTAGTGAATCCCGCGAATCCGGATTAATAAATTCCGCGAAAGGAACGAAATTCCTGATAAATGAATCTCGAGGATGAAACGGCATTCCGAATTAATGAATCCTGAGAATGAAATGGAAACAGCCGCTCCCATGAAAGCTATTGCATAAAATCAATCATGTACAAAGTGGTAAAAAATCAGTAAGATTGAAATAGATCAGTTTATGAAAATAAGAGAGATCGGAATGCCATCAAGAGGAATTAGTATATAAGGATGAAAGCGAGAAAGAAAGAAAAAGAGAGCAGGAAAGATGGTGAAATTTGCTGAATGAGATAGATAGTTTCAAAGATTTGAAGAATTGATGGGAGTCAAGTTGGCGCTAATAGAAGTAACCGAGCGAGAGGGATGTTGTGCAAGAGAGCAGCATGGTACAAGGGAGTATGCGCATCCTTTCTATGGGTAATCGGAAATGACAAAGGATATATTTGTTTTCCGTATCAGTTATGCTCCAGTAGGCAAGAAGAAACATGAAATTCAAGTAACGACCTATCATGAGCGTAAATATGGTGGGATTCTGTGAAGTTCCACGCAATAATCATCAAATTAGAGATCAGTTCGGTTTTCAGTTGTCAAAGTTTTTTCCGCATGACTGCCTCACTACTATCAGTATACAAGTCGTGTTGTGCCCCCAAATAAATGTATCGCTTAGTGGAAGTAGTAAGGACGAGGAAATGAAATCTCCCGAGGGATCTTCACGTTTTGATTCTGTGCGACCATGCATATACGTTCCTATGAATTTTTCTAAACACGGATAGCTCCAAGACAATCGATAATGATACCGAACTAGGATTGAAAGTGAAATTAATATAATTTTAAATAAAAAAAACTCAGGCTCAGAAGTCTCAACGGAAACAGCATGAGTCGTTTATCTGCGCACACAGATCAAGTGATTATTAATTGCTCTTCCTTGGACAGTTCTTGCGCTTATACAGTTTTATCAATAGTATAAGTGAATCAATAATACATACCCTATAAGAGAGCTGATAACAATAACGATAAAATGATCGATTAAAAAAACTCTACCAATACATACTACGCTTCATTCTAAAAGTGCAATCTATTAATTTTATCTTTTCTATTACGAATTATAATCTTAACCATGGGATAATCAAAACAGCAACCGAACTGACCGGAAGTTCATTTGAGGCGTTACCGTATGGACAGTGTCCTGTCTATGTAGCCACTGAATCAAACAGTGAACTATATTAATTCATGGATTTCTTCTGTAAAATGATATCGATAAACTTCTCAGGACATGAGACAGAAAAAAACTACATAGCAAGAAATGCCATTGAACTTCATGCAGCTAAACTGATAAACAAAACGCTTAGTAAATATACGCTGATTTTACATGCAGTGACGCATAAAGCAATGAGATCACTCAAATAACAAATCTTTCCTTACTAGCGAAATAACGTCGTCACATATTAACAAACCTTCCTTTGTTTAAATACAGCTTGCAAAAAGAAATATCGAGAAAATGTTGAAATTCTAAAATCAACAACAAAGAAAAGCTGAATTTTATACCAAAACGTCGAAATTTTAAAGCCAAGAGTTTAATAAAACAAATCCCCGTAAATGGAGATAATAAAATTTGGGGCAAATTCAGAAGACCGTTGGGAATTCATCAGAAACACAAGTATAACTAAACGACATTTGTTTATAAATATCATTTTGACGACACTGTTTCAAATAATACGAATTCTGAAGTTATTCATCAATTCTGAGCTTTTGAAGATTGTTCGCTTGTGCCATAGATGCAGATCCCATCAGGCTGAGTGCAGCAACGTGCGGACCATCAAACGGTTGGACAATTAATATCCAAAGATGCTAAAAACTTCGAGATTTACAAATTAAACGACAGTTTAAATTTTAATGAAGTAGGATTTAACTGTTTTGTCAGTCGAACTGCAAAAATGCTGCAGGATGAAGCAGCGCAGTAATCCAAGCCAAGTTGTCATGCTATCTTCATCCACCAGTGTTTTTGGAGGAGCAAGGCTTGATATTTCAATTTTGATGCATATTTGAATTTCTGGTATCATAAATCACAAATGCCGTACTTGGATTATAATGCGGCACAGCATATCCATTTACGGTGCCAATTGTTGTTTGGAATTGCGAACAAGGTAAGCCTAGCACAGCTAAATCATTGTCTGTTGGGTTAAGTGGGTACCAACGTGGCGTACCATCCAGAACATGTGGATCTGTAGAAAACAACAGTTTCTTTCAATAAATGAGGGTCAGTTAAAAGAGTTTGCAACTACAGCCTAGTTTTTTGTCCTTCTCTATAAATTTCAAAAAGGGAACACTAACATGGAACATTCAAAACCTGCCAAAATTACTAGGAACAGAGCCTGAGTAAGACAAAAGAGTTTAAAGAGTACTAATCCGAACTGTACATAATCGAACCATTAGAAGTTTTGCCTTCTAGTGTCTTATAACACAAACCAACATATGAAGGTCTCCTACAGCATTAAATTAAAATTACCTGAAAGACTAATAACAAGTTTTCCTAAAGCGTTGTTATCATTAAGTCTATCATAGTCCCACACCGTAAATTCCAAATAATGGCTGTATAGGTCATGAAATGGTACTGAATATTCCAGTGTTTGATCCCATACTGGATCTGAGGTATTTGGCACGAATTTAGTTCGACGCTTACTAGATACCCTGAAAATTATATACCTAAGGTATTCATAACTCATTGGATTTCTCGGTGGATTTCTGGATATACTAAGAGAAAAAATACGTTAAGAAATGACAATAAGTGCATCAAATTCATTCTGTAAATTATTGCAGCAGCATTTACCTTCTTCCAGGTAACAAGTAGACCTTCACGAAAGGATTCGGATAAAATGTTACATTACAATACTGACGACACAAGAGGCTCTTTGCCGAAAGCACTGTTACCATAAGTGTCGATGTTGATCGGTTGTATGCTAAGGCCACGTTCAAATAACCCAACGTATCAGGCTAAAAAGAGGATAAAAACAAGAAAATAAGTCAAAAAAAAAAAGAAAATCTCTCTAAACTGACTAGATTGCTAAAAGATTTCATACTCATTGATAGTCAACTTTCTAATGAAATCGATGATGTCTTAATCTTTCGCAATAAATATGAGTAGCGGCCTTTCAATCTTTTACTCTCTTGTTGCCAAAAAGGTCCGTCTAAACGAACTGGTTAAACTGGCATAGAATCTTGGAGCTACAATTTATTCTAAATCTCCATTTTCGGAAATTATCTTTTGAATTCAAAATAAAATTCTGAATTCATAATTTGCTTTTGAATTCATAATTTGCTCTGTCATAATTGCTTTAGATGAAAGTCAGTCGACAATAATGTTAAGAAATGATGAAGTAATTATGTAATTAAACTACCTCCTGCATGCAGGCAACACGGTTATGCGATTGCAAAGGGATAGCTTTGTTGTTCAATGATGGTTTCAAAGCAGCATAAGAATCTGAAGAGACAGAAGTCTGTCCATCCGCGCAACGATGTGCAGGTACAGGAGGAGCCTCTGACTTCTGTGAGCGATCGCGTGTTTCATCTGTAGAAATTCTTGTAAATACATTTTTGTTGAATATTGTATATGAATGCAATATTTTTCAACAAGAAAACCATACCATGCTTTCGTTCTCGTCTGCTTTTTTGTTTTTCAGCGCCTTTGCTTCTTCCGAGATTGCTCGATGTCACCTGCACACTGCTAATCGGAGTGCTTGAAAATCAAAATTGTTAGACAAGAAAAAGAATTGTATTCAACAGACCATCCATGATAAATTGTTACAAAGATAAGCATTGAACATCCTAATGAGTATTGCAACATCACGAAATAAACTGGTAACTTTTTGACGTTTTGAATTGAGAATAATCCTACAACTGCTTATAACACAGCATTTTATTTCTTTTAGCACAGTATATAGCTAAATTACTTGTTGGTAAACTAAAATTGCATAAGATAATCAAAGAATATCAGAACAAAGCTGGTTTCCAGTGAATTTAATCATTTATTGAATAATGTTCCTAACAAAGTGTAAAAGAAAGCATAAAATGTCATCAACCTAGCAACAACCACTTCAATTTCACCACGACTTGCGGTTATCACTTGCTCCACTTCTTCAAATGTTTTTCCAGTTAATAATACACCATTCCATTCCAGAACACGATCTCCTAAACAGGATCACCAAACATATTTTCATCGCATCTTCAAAAAAATACTCCAAAATGTTATAGAACGAAATTAATAAATTTTTGTTTTTCCTCTTCATTTTAAATATAATGTACACTTAAAGGTTTGCAATGTTTATTTTTTTTCAAGAAGAAAAGGGAATTTAAAATTTACTTCCATTGCTTTTTTGACCATATTCACTTCATTAAGATGGGTGATGTAAGCAATCTTAGTAATCTAAAGACAGTCTGATAAATCTTCGGGTGGCATATGCCGAGACAAGTAATAAATGAAAACTCGGGAAACAGTGATCTGACTGAAGTGTTAATTAGAGTGTTGACTTCTATAACACTTCAATCGCTTCTTACCAATACAACCCAACACCTCATTTTGCTTGACACTACCGGAGTTATATGATGCTGTGCATTCACTAGCATCTACTTTGAAGTATCCAAATTAATTTTGGTAGGAACAATATTTAACGGACCATAAGGTCATTCAACACCTTGTTTGAGTGTTACCAATTCTCACTGGTACAGTGCTTTCTATATGGAGGATTGATTATTGATGAATTTTAACCTTCCTTGATCTCGCCTAACATTTCTCGAGCCTTTCCGCGATTTACTGTCGATACGAAAGCTACAAGTTCACCATTTGGAAGTTTCTTGCCACCTACTACTCGAATGCCAATGTCTGAAACGCAATCATTAAACTTTTATTAACAGTGAATTTTGAATTTTGAAATTTAAATTTCATTTATTAATATTTTAGCAATGATTTTGGAGTGCAGTCTATCTCCCTTCAAATTTTTGAAGACTCGACTCCATATTCATAAGGAGTCACTAATAATATTTTACAACTGCAATGATACCACCAGACGATTCCTGCGGTGAACAGCCGGTCATTACATACATTATACTTTGTTTTATAGTGACGCATACTCCCCCAAAAAATTTGATTTTTCAATATTTCAAAATAAAGCCTTTGTAAACATTGGTGTCGTGATATTTGCGTGTTAGGAGAATCTTCTTAATGTTTGCCGGATAAACCCGGTCGCGTTGTGTTATGGCAGCAGCTATTCCATCGCTATCATCGAATGACTGCTTCAAATGACTTCCAGTTAGTTCTTTTACCTGTTGGAATATTAATTCCAATTAAGTAAATAACTCCATGGAATCATAAAAAAACTGTAACTAATAGTACACTGTCTACAAAAATGAATGCATCTTCATTACCAAATATTTCAACAAGCAAATCAAAAAGAGATTAGACTGCTGTGTTGATTATCTGGTAGTTTCAAATCAAAATTACCAACAGTCTTAACATCTCTTTATCACTGATAGCATGCATGATGCATTATTTTGGAACACCCTGTACTTTCATGGAAGATCATAATGTGAATATCAATCTTTGATGTGCGAGATTTGAGACTGTTAGATTATGTAAAGCCGTTCCGGGACTTTTGGCTTCTTGTGTATTAATTTAAAAGAGGGAAGGAGGTAAATGATGCTTTGATTTGGCGCTGTTAAATTTTGGTTTTCTTTTAAAGTAACTTATCATCCCAAAGGCCGTTACGGTTTTGAGCGTTACAGACTAAAAAACTGGTCTACTAGAACTACTGAGGCAGTATGCTAATGTTCGAACGCCCATAAATCAATTACAATATCGTCATCCGTTAGAATTTTCCAAAGCTCCAAATTCTACAGTACAATAGAAACCTACTCGATTTCTTCGCGTCTTTCTGTCGTTGCGTCCGAGACTAGAGACGTGATTGCAATCGCCTGAATGAATATGTCAACTAAGCAGTTAAATTTGAAAGCACGCATGAAAGTCAACAAATGATACTTCTTGAAAATGAGAAATGCATGATATAAACTTGCTGAACATTTAGTCTGACCTCATTTTTCAATTTAAATAGCTCTTTCTAACCCCGACTTTGCTGGACTTTAACCCTACTCAGAAAATAAATTTGTTTTACAATAAGTTGTACTCCATCTACTTTGTGCGTATTTTATCAACTGAAATATCATTTCTCAGAAGAATATTCCTTAAATTTAAAAAATCTTCCATAAATAAGCATTACTTGTTTATACGCTTAGACCATGAAATTTGTTTTGACTCGATTTCAGAAACATAGTTTTCAAAGATACCTAATTGATTGATTCCCTACATTTCTCATTTTTCGAGACAATGCAATTGTACCATTAATTCTACCGTACTGAAATTAAAACACTACACTGCAAAAGACTTGCAAATTCTATCCAAAAATATGGATTCCAACAGCTGTATAGAATAAATACAATTGCCATGACTGCTTCGTTTTATCAACAAACGAATAACTGTACAATAACGACGAATTTTAGTGCGATAACTAAAAGAGTAACATTTAACCTACTCAAATGATTGATAAATTACATTACTTTGTGCTACTGACAGAAGCACAAAAACCATCGGAATAACTCTAAGTATAACTTGAGCGACAGTTACACCTCACAAAATTCTTCCTCCATTCACAGATGAAATCAATTATGAAAAGAGGTCATTACACAACGACCGATTTCATGCCAACACACTAAGGGTTGATTCAGATGTGAGATTGAGGTGTAATACTGCTCAGCCATCACAAGCACCATAACATAACTGCAGTATCACATATTATCAATGTCCTCATTTTTTTAGGCGGCATGTTCTCATTTTTCATATACAAACTATCGGATATCAGCTTCATACATAACTCAACAAACAATTTAAACTATGTCTACAATTGGACTACAAAGTAATATATTCATTTTTACTGTTGAAAATCTTTTACCTTTTTAAACCACATTATCAATCCTTAAGGCATCCAAAAATTTTGAAAATGTTGAGTTCATGAGGATGAAAACTATGTTTTTTAGTATTCACATTATTTCTGTGGAACTGAAATTTGTACTTCGGCGATGACCATGCCATTTCCAAAGCTGAATTCGGTCTCTACCATCTTATTTTCCAAATTCTAATTACCAGTACACCTCCCACGCCATGTTTAATTGAACTCAACATTTTCAGATAGCTCTATGGAAAAATCAATTCAAGGCTTCCAACATTTTCTAAGGATAAAACCCTTCTGCGTTGTAAATTGGATTGTACCTTTCGAGATTTCATTAAATACCTTATTTTTCATATTACTGACATGCGATAGCAAGTATTAGAAAGATGACAACTTTCTTTGTAAGCAATCATTCGTCCATTAATCAAAAACTGAATCAAATAATAATTCAACATTTCAACAAGGAATGCAGAGTTAATTCAACCGCTTTAATAATATTTCAGGTAGATGAACAAAATAAAACGAAAAAAAAGCTAAAGCATTACCATATAGAATATAAACGTAGAATAGCTTAAATTTTTGTAAACCCTACTACTTAAAAATGAGTCTACGTTTATTCAGATTTCACTAGACCAATAAACAAAGATCAAACGGTTGCATTGAAAAGAAGGAACAATTAAATAATGTGAATGCCAACGACGAAATGTAATTTAGGATTTTATTTAAATCTGAACTTCGTATCCAAAAATGACATAGTTATAAATAAAGCTGCATATTTTAAAATATAGGTTACAGACACTTTCAATAGTGCCAATAGTATGCTTTTCTATATTGACCAAAATTTCTTGATAAAATTTAGCCGACTTTTCTGCCAACAATTATTATAATGTTTCATGGTCATTGAAAATTACTTGCTAGATCTCTTTCACAGATCATAAAAACCCCTCATGTCTGAATGAAATTCAGTTTGAAAACCTAACTTTTAAGTAGAACTTCCAAGAATCAATCCTTTATTGAAGTTTGATTTAATCTTGCATACAAAACTGTTGAACGCCCTTTCTACAGCATAATCCATGCAACTAGGAAGTGGGGAAGATGATCGAAAGATTAATCAGAATTATTTAGGCAAACTACAGAAGATAAAGGTGAGTCAGACACAGTATGGCGAAGCTGATCCACTTTGAAGAGAAGGAATTAAGAACAAATCTGAAAACACAGAAATGCTGAAATTTTTTGAATGTATATTGTTCAATAAGCAGCGAAAGAAAAAAAACATAACAGAAGAAAATCAAAATCCATTCACTGTTTAGTTTTTCTACGATAATGATCGGCTGCACCATAACAGAAGGAAAAGTTTAAAGTCCAAAAGCTTTCGCAAAATGCAAAATTAATGCGATGTTTAAAAGACCTAAAAAGGAGAAAATCCATTTCCAAACATCAGTGCTTCTACAGGTCGCACAAATGATCGCGACCTTCACGATGGTGACGGTGTAGAAATCCTCTATGTATTGTAGTCCCCTGTGAGGCTGAAACCATATAACTTAATATTCTTAATATCATAGATTTCAAAGTCACCGTTCTGCTCACTAATTCAATCTCGCACATGTAAAATCATGAGCTGAAAAATGTTGAAAAAGAAAAAAAAAACATTGATGAATATTGGGAGATTCCAATTATAAGCTGCCATATCGTATACATTACAAGAAATAAACTAAGAACATATCGTCTTCCGGTAAGTCGATAACGAAAGCAAAAAAAAAGAAAAAATTATAATTCGTAAAAATCCATATGCTCAAATCCCCTGGATATAAGTAATCCAAAAAAAAAAGCACTATTTGAAATGTATTTCCTTACTGCTCGTATTTCCTCTCCTATTGCTCTATTCTCCTTCGAAAGTGCCAAAATAAATAAATTTAAGCATTACTTCTCCGGATCAATGAATATCATGGAATGGAAACAGTAAACACTAGGTATGCATAGGAAACACACTGATATCCAGAGTTTCATGGTTGTATCGCAGTTGAAAACACATGCATAACCAATGGATATACTAGATGAATGAATGAGACATTAACAACAAAATCCTGATAAGACTTTCCAGCCTCTATGTCACCATGTTTGAAGATCATGAATTTGAAAGATGAGATACTACAAAAAAAAAAAAACTTAAAGAAACAGGGTTTGAAGCGATTGTACCACGAATAAGAAGCTGAATAACAATGTTTCGGGGCAAAACCGTTAGTATTTAATGATTTCAAACAAGAAAAAATGACGAAGCACTAGAGATCATCAACCGATTTGACGAGAAAATTGGGGAAATAAGAAACTGGTGTTAGGTGCCACAAAGTAATTAAACTGAAACTTCATAAATTAGAATTCTTACAGATGGGAGACCCAACAGAACCTAGAAAAAATATTCCTTGATGCTTTCTCGATGATATTTGAGTAATGGAACTTAGCTCTTAGTTCCTGTTATACAGAACTTCGGAAAAAATGGGGAATATTGTAAAAACTGTAGATTTTCCAGAATTTTTATGTATAAACTTCATTTTTCAACCTATGAATACATAATTGAGGTGGCACCATTACCGTAATGTTGCAGACGCATAGGACGTTGATTGCTCAGTGTTGTATACATGCGGTTCATACCATCTTCTTTTGGATAAACGGCATCGTAACTGTTCATTGGAATGTTTCCATTGGACCAAGCTCTCAGAGCGTGACTAGGTTGTTGAGAGGTCGTCGGATAGTTATCCGGAAACACGGATGGTTGTTTTGGCGAATAAGATTGTTTACCAATACCCAGATAAGGGTTGCCTGCGTGATACTGAGTGGAATAAGGAATATAAGAATAGTGATTTCTTACAGCATAATTCCTGTTT